ATCATTACCATCATTATCATCTCCATCAATCATCAATCCTCATCATCATCAATTATCATCACCATCATTATCATTACCATTATCATCATCAATCATCATCATAATCAGTTATCATCATTATCATCAACACCATCACCATCAATCAACATCATCAATTATCATCATAATCATCACCATTATCATCATCAACACCATCCTCAATCATCATCATCATCATTATCATTTATCATCATCATCAATTATCATCATCATTATCATCATAATCATCATCATCATCAATTATGCATCATCTTCAAGATATGTATAGCCAGGAAGCTCACTTCCATTTAGATTATTTAACCCAAAAATTAGATTGACTTTTTGGTTCCTTTGAGTGTCTTACATCATTGCCAATTTAGGGAAATATTGTAATTTCTTCAAGCCATCCATTTAGGCTATTTTCAAATGATTATTATAAAGGTATAAGTTTTTTTTTTAATCCAGTTAGATAATTGTAAATATAATTGTAGCGTATCATTTCTGATATTGATTGCTGGTTAGCCTTTTTGTCAATTACATTAAGATGTCATATCACAGAATTGCATAAAAATGCGGAGATTGGTCCAGAATTCAAGACCAAGCAGTACTTCGAACATTTTCTGAGCACCTGACACCTTATAAAGATTTGTACTGATGGCTATTTTGTCAGATTAGGTCTAAGTCGAGTCAAAATGATTGGTTTCAGGTGTTTCCTATGATGATGACGCTAGAACACAACAATCAGGAATAGTCCGAGTGGGAAATTTTATTTGGATCTGATAGTTGAGCTCTGAGAAAAGTTTCTTAATTATGGCCCGTGTAGTAATATTTTAGCATTTTGTGTTGTGAAGCAGCTATGGTTTAACTCGCTCACCCATGAAGATTAACTGTTGCACATTCTTAATATTTCTCTGCTTCACTGCTACTGTTTTGTTCTCTATGAAACATGACTGCAGAATTACAGAATAAACCTTTTACTTTACTCTTTTTTTCCTTTCATTCCTTTTTTTTCTTCTTTAGTGTCCTGTTTATGCTGATGAAGCAGAAGTACGTGCTGGAGGAACTCAGTTTCAGACCTTTACATCTCGGGCAGGCATGGTTGCACGCAGGGAAAACTTTCCAGACGGAGTACACATTATCGTGGTACCCTTGCCTGATGACGATCCTTGTACATTAGCATTCTCAGGTTAGTCATATTTGTGGTTATTGGTTTAAAAAAAAGGAAGTATTGTAATCTTACCTGTATATAGAGAGTGAATTGTGTAATCTTTGGCATATGGGTAACTGTCGTAGGGTCCCTGGTAAGTGCATATGGTACTGACCAATTATTGGTAGTATGCAACAGAAGTCATACCTGCATGGGTTCGATATCATTTTCTTTACTTAATTACTTATTTGTTTTTATATAACTAATGTATATCACACTAGATAAGGTAGGTAACTGTAAAATTGAATTATTTGTTACAGACATTAACTCTGTGTACAAGGAGCACAGATTTTGTTTTATTAACTTGATTATACTTAGATGACTTGTTAAATGCTTCTCTGCAAATGAGTAATTTAGTAGGCCTACCTGAAATGCATACTCCATTGCTTAAATTTTCACAAAGTAAAGTTTTTATATATCTTTCTTTTTGTTATTATGAAATTAATTATAGTAACAGTAGTAACAAAATCTTTTTTAAAAATTAAGTAATGTGATGTATTAAACATCAAATTACTTAAATATTTAGATATTTTGTTAGTACTGTTACTATAATTATTATCATAATGTCAAAAAGAAAGGTACTTAAATGTAACAAGATTGTCCATCTTTTCACAGAAAGAGCAAATCACACATCTCGTCAAAAGTCTGTGATTCTTCAGGTCTATAACCATGCCACTATTGCATCTACGTGGTATGTCTTCCTCTTAACAGCAGGAGCCATGGCAACAGTCATCTCTTCCTTCACTGCCCTTTCAATCCGGATGATCAGAAGGTACGTTTGTTCTTTCACAGCTTTTCTGATAGAAAAAGAAGCTGATGAATAATTATTAATACTAGACTATTTTTAGGTACCGTGAAAGAGCCTCAACAAGGCAGTTATTTTCAGAAACTTAACATCTGAGACTGTTGCTGTAGAAGATGAGGATGAGAGAAGTCTTCTTGGGGAATCTGGTCATTCTGGAACACACGGCAGAATCCGAGTAGAGGAAATGGCAGGAGTTTCCGTGTTGTCTGGTGGTGAGGTAAGCCAGGAGTAACCTTCCTGCAATTATGTATGGGTGGTAGTGATAGATTTTGTCAAAGTAACAGCTGGTGGCAAAACTTTGGCTGAACAATTTTTTTTTTTTCTACTAATGCATCGCATTTAAACCTTGTGAATTCTCTTATTAATATTAAGAAAAGAAAAAAGAAGAGAAATTTGGTATGGTGTGTTACTAAAAGAGTAAAGTAGTAGCTTGATATATGTGCACAGGAGTTATTATCATGAATAGCAAAAATTGTTCCTATTAAAAGTAAACCTCTTAGGTTGGTGGAACCATGTCGGAAGGTAGTCGGAGGGAAGGTGTTTCTCAAGAAAGACCATTTGTGTCGGCATCACTCTCTGATGGTCACTTATCCCGGAATGTTTCCAATGGTAGGAAAGATTTTCTTTTTGAGGACATTTATGTTCAGCAGATCTCTCTTATATTCTTCATAGCCATAAGAATGCAATAGAAATTATTTTAACAATTATGAATTCAGACAATCTTTAGGTAGGATTTCAGGAACTTCTGTAAGAGTTAAAGATAGGTTTGTATCAAGAGACTTGCCAAATAGAGTGATTGCTAGTATAGTAATTTCCCTTAACCCTTTATAGAAGACAGAGAGATAAACTATCTTAGAAGAGACATACACAGAAATATTTTACCACTTTCTACAACAAATATTGCATCTCAGAATATTTCATATGATCCTTATGCAGAACCTTATGGGAGATTGCAAATAGATAATGGATCAAGAGACCTTCAGCCGCTGCCTTATGCCGTGCCCTCAACCTACGCACCACATCATGCAGTTCTCAACTTCTCAGCGAGTTTTAACCCAAGGTGGGATTAGTTATTAGGGTGAAGCAGACAATGCTGTATAATGATGATTTTCATATGCATGTGTATGTATATTTATTTATTTTTTTTTTTTTTTTTTTTTTTTTTTTTTTTTTTCTTTTTCTTTTTTTTCTTTTTTTTTTACTGATCTGCATTTCTCTTTCTTTTCTTCATGGAAATTAGATAGATTGATAGGTTTTGTTATCAATGTTTAAATCATGTTTTGTGTGTGACTTCTGTAGACCTTTTTATGTAATTTTACCATATCAGGATGAATTTTTTTTTAATTTCTAGACTTGTATGTTGGTGGAAGCGATTGGCAGTCTATGAACTACGGACAGCAGATGCACAAGTTGCAGAGATAGGCTTCCAGAATAATGTTTTGATTATGGCAGTATTTACAGCACTTCCAACCACAGAACTTGTGAGGTCATATCTGAAGGTCAGTCTTCAGCCACTTGAATTCTTGAATTTGCCACAGATGAATCAAATATATTAGTGTCTTCTACTGTTTTATTTATTGTGTGTCTGTTAGTCTATGAGGAAGAAAAATTTTAGTAGCTCTGAGTAGATATATTGATATTTTGTCTTTAATATGTCATCCCAATATATTAGTTGTATTTCCTTTAAGGCCATGTCACACTAGCACTTTTTCCATTAATTTTATTTACCATAAATACAAACATTCTCTTGATTTGACTTTGCTTGGCTGAAAAAGTTGACGGAAAGGTTTTCAGACGGAAACGATCATTATCGTCTTACCGGAGAATCGACAGTTCGCTCAAAAATTGACAAAACTTCAGAAAATTGTCAAAAAATTGACGGAAAAAGTGCTCGTGTGACAGTAGCTTTAGGTTGGCTCTTCTGTTGCCTTCTTTGTTTATCTGTTTTGTTCCAGTTATTTGCAAATTACATCAACCATACCCATGCTATCATGTGAAGCCATACTGAAAAATAACCTTACATGATACACTTCAATATTTAAACAAATACTAATCAAACTACTAAATGTTTATTTTGGACTGAGTTCAGCATAGGCAGATTGTGTCTACACCTTTTTCACCTACTAGTACTCTTGAAAGTAGATAGGAAAAAAAAATAGTTATTTTCAATACAGTAATTTGTCAGGAAACGACAGGAGTCATCTTGTAAGTCGACAAACATTCGTGTGTAATTATTTTCTCTCTCCTTTGCAGTTGTTGCTGTACCATGGCCAAGAGGACCAGTGCTTTTTCAATTCCCGCTGTCTGACAGCATTTGGTACCCTGCCTGATTTTGCTCGAGTCTTCACCAACATTGGATACCTCTTGTGTGGTGCAGCTTTTATTATCATAGTGAAAGAACACAAGAAATTTACTGAGAACATTCTCCGACAGTATGGTGCAAATAATGTAAGTCATTGCAGGGAAAAGATGGGTAAAGTTATCAAAGTTTAAGGCTGCAAAGAAATCATTTACTGTCTTGTTTATACCATTCTGACTTCAAAAGGTATTTTAAAAGTATTCTCCAATACCTGAGGTATTTTTTTAATTTTCTCCAATACCTGCTTTTTTCATAGTACTTTTATGTTGTTAGTAACAATTGGAATCAGTGTTTATGTAAATATATCTTCTGAACAGATAGTATGCAGTTAATGCGGAATACTACATTATCTGTCTTTGTTTTTATGTAGCTTTTTCAAGATTTTAGGGAGAGGGTAAGTATTTCATATCGAAATGTGTTAAAAGAAATTGTCACCTTACAAATTGATTCACCCACAACCCTTTCTTTTTTGTACAATTTCCTGGTATTACTAATAGCCAATAGCTGGAATATCTACTTCCTTTTAATTGATAGCCAGTTTGTGTATATATGCTGCTCATGTCAAAAGTTCATCAGCTATTATGTTCATATTTTTTTGTAGTTTTGACATTTGGTAGACTGTTTTGACTTCAGTATCATTTTCATCTTGCATCTATTCTGTTTTTAATGTGCTTTTTTGATTTTCCCCCTGTGTGTTCTCAGTCACAACCACTCCTTACACTTGTTTTAGATGTGTATTTGCAGCACAGGACTACACCAATTTAGTGCTCATATCAGCACTTCACTTATGGAAAATATAAAAACTTTTTCTATATAATGTCAGTTATGTCTCTTTTTATCATGTCAATATATGCTATTATATAGACAGCATTGTGTGCTTATTTGCTCACTGGGTTAAGATTCCTGTGTATTTATCAGGAGTTTAAACCTCTCTGGTGCCTCGTATGACTAGAACACCAATTTCAGTTGGCACACGGGTATGGGGCGACTCGATTCTCCACCTCCTTTTTATTGGTTTATACCGGAGACATTGCTTTCTTTTCAGAGTGTTGGTGTAAGCAGACACTATGGATTGTTTATGTCTGTTGGTTATGGACTCTTCATCCAGGGTGTTATGTCATCCTTATATCACACTTGCCCAAACAGCGTTACTATCAGATTCGGTAAAGTGATTTCCAGCGTCAAGTCTAGTTTGAAATTGTAGATGTATACTTCTCTTAATGTTTAAATGTAATTAATTATGAAGAGAACCATATTCCTGTTTAAAGATAATCATTATTAGCAAAGTTAAGCCAGTGTAAAATATGGAATACTCCTTTTAATGAACTCCTTGTGTGTGGGAACCCCATTAGTGTTGCTTTAACTTATTATCAGGGGTTCCAGTTAACCTAAAGTAATTTAGATAAAAGTAATATTTACACTGAACCAATAGTTTATAAATCAGAGGTTGAGTGATACTGAAACTCATTTTGAATTCTTCCCTTAGACATGATGTTCATGTACGTAGTGGCAGTCGCCGCTGTTGTGAGCATGTGGGGATTCCGCCACGGTGATGTCACACACCATGTTTACCCCACAATGGTTATGGTCGGTATGATACTTCTGATGGCAGAGGCGCGTGAATGGGTCAGTCAGGCAGCCTTCTGGACTGTACTGTCTCTGTGTTATGTCTTCCTTATGGTGACAAACACCATACTGCTCACAAAGTATGGAGTTTGGTCTTTCTGTGAGTATGATCGCTTTAACACTTTTATTGGTATTTAAAAGCATTCATGGTATTGTCATTTCCTGCAATTTTTAAAGCACTTTATTTTGCATTTGTTAATTGCATGAAGAGTAGACATACTGCTTGCATAAGAAATAATTATATACCTTTTCCTTAATTAATGAGGTCACTATGGAAGGGATGTGCTATTAATGGTTATTTTGTCAGATATGATTATTGCAGACCAACATTTGACAAACTTGAATGTTATTTTCATTTGTATGATGCTATTAGTGAAGATTTAACATGTTAAGAGATATACTTACATCTTAATGAAATATGATGGTAGATTAATATTCTGAAGCTAGTTTTTATGTTACCTACCAAAGTAAAAGATTTTTAAGACTTTTAGTTTTATCTTTTGAAAACTCCTTGGGATTTTTTTTTTTTTTTTTTTTGTGATTTATTACTTTTATCAGTAATTGAATAAGATATTCTATGTATGTACTCTAGTGATCATAAGATTTAATCCCTAGTAATCCAAGATGAAATTCCATATTGTCTTAATATTGCAGCTCCATACAAGATGCTAATGGTCTGGAAGGGATGGAGACCCGTTGCAGAAAAATTGCGTAATGAATTGTGGGGTTCAGCAACGACTGCCAAGCCACTGCAGATTGTGAGGATTGTCATAGGACTGGTGGTGAATTCTGCAATTATCCTGTTTGGTTGCTTAGCTGATCCAAATATCTACAGTTATATCCTCATGGTGTGCCTCATAAACATGGGACTTTACTTCTTAAATTATGTAATTGCAAAGGTAATATATTGTGGTTTTAGACTAGTTTTACTTGATGACAAATAGGGTAGGATAAACCATGCCACTCAAAGGAGAAATATTTAGATGAATTTTCACCATCATCACAAATTACTAGGGTCTCTGTATTTATATCTATTGATTACTGCATTTCTCTTATAGAGTTATTCATAAGATAACATCTTGTAAGCAATATTTCTGTGTTGTTTATATTATTTAATAGATGGCAGACCAGCCTAACAGAATATCATAGTATATATCCTGATTCCAGTCTAAACTACACATATAACTGAATCCTGTCTGATATTCATTAAACAGAATTGAACCTAATATCATCTTTTAGCGTAGTTATACCGTTACTCTTTTATACCATTTTAATAACTACATCTTTTCCCCATAAGTGATTCAGGAAATGTTTTGCCAACAGATATGCGAGAGGGAAAGTGTGAGAGCTCTTCCCTCGATAGCTCTGGGAATATCCTTGATACTTTGGATTCTGGCTCTAGCGGCATTCTTCTTCCACAGCACCGATTCAGAGGTGGGTTAATCTCCAATGTTTTGTTTATTTGCTGGTCGGACTATGGGATGTAGAGGACAAGTAGAGGACTTAGTAAGAAATCCTTCTGTGATGGCTTCGTAGAAGAGAGAGAGATTATTGATTAATTTATTAATTTATTTACTTTATTTATTTATCTATTATTATTTTTTTATTATTATTATTTTTTTTTTTTTTTTTTTTTTTTTTTTTTGTGACTGTTTTAGAGGAGAGAGAAACTTATAACCATGACTGTTTTTTAGAAGAAAAAATGCATAACTGAAACTTCCTTTTAGTAGAAAAAATTATAACTATCTCTTACCATTTCCTTGAAAAGAAACAATTTTATGACTTTCTTTGTTTCCTAAAAGCAATAAACTTTTAACTTTCTGGAATGGCGTCTCCATGAAAAGCCATGTATTAAACGTGCTGTTATTCCATTCTCTCTCCTTTTTTCGAGATGATTATTATTATGTATTCAGTACATAAATTAATATATATTCTGTTTCTCTTTCATGCCTGGTATTGTCTTGCAGGCTTCGCCATCTATGTCCCGTGCGAAGAATTCTCCTTGCGAATTCTTTGGGGTTTTTGACACTCATGATGCGTGGCACCTCATGTCTGCCTTAGCACTTTTCACATTCTTTGTGGTAAGTATTTTGTTTTGTTTGTTTGGCTGAATATATGCACACTCATAAGATATTGTTTTTACTTGTGGTATGATGTATATAGCTAGAATATTTTTCCTTGAACGTTTTTCAAAGTTGTGGTTTGTTTTCTCTTCATTATTTTATATATATATATATATATATATATATTATATATATATATATATATATATATATATATATATATATATATATAATATATATATATATATATATATATATATATATATATATATATATATATATATATATATATTTTATTTTTTATTGATTTATTTATTTTTCCATCATCATCATCATTATCATCATCATCATCTCTGTATCTTCATTTTTGTGTCTTTCTTACTTCAGGTACCATTCCCTCCTCATTTCTTATCTTTACCTATGTTCCTTTCCTTGATTTATCTCCCATCTCTCCATTTTTACTTGATTATTGACGTACAAAATCTGTGTTTCAATGTGACATGTATACGACTGTTTAAAATTATGGCTCTTTTCGTCTCATCTGCAGGGTATCCTGACTTTGGACGATGATCTTTGCCACACACGCTCCGATAAAATTCATGTGTTCTAGTTTAAACATTTGGCACTGCAGTGTAAGCCTGTCCCCCCCCCCCCCTTTTAGTCGTTTATTGTTATCTATAGTATTAGATAACAATAACCAGATAACAATAACATAAAATTTGTGTGTTTTAGTTTCATCGTTTGGCACTGCAGTGTAAACCTGGGATTTTTTTTTTTATTAGTCATTTATTGTTATCTAAAGTATTTTTGTTAAATTTGTTAAATCTCGTTTTTAAAATAGTACTCATTATCAGAACTACTGTAAACGGTGTTGTAGTAAGATTATTAGTAAGATATTTTCGTAATGAACTACTTATTATGTATTTTGACATTGTAACACTAATGGTTTGTTGGTAAAACTTGCCCAGATATATTTGTAGTGCTTATATTTCCTTTGTGTTCCTGTGTTTTTAGAGACTTCGTGTCGTATGATAAGACATTTTTAGAATTTACGGCAGGATTGTTGTGGACATTGAAAAAAATATCTGTCATAATAATTTCAATATGTATATACATGATTGTGACTGAGCTGAAATATTTTTATATATCATTATTATATACCTGACTCTTTCTCAGTTTAATTTTTTCTTTCATATCCCCTCTGAACACATCCCATTATATTTGTAAGTTAAAGCTTCAAAGGTTTTCCCAGTTTTGTTTGTATCATGCTACATTGATACAAAATTGCAAAATTCAAAAGTAATTTAAATGGAACGTATTTACTTAAATTTTTTAATAATGACGCGAGAGAATAAAGAAGCCATGCTTGGATATTGCTTTTAATTACATATTCCATCCTAAATATTTGTAATTTAGCACATGGAGCCACATACATTAGCGGATCTAGCATACTACGGGGAGGCAAAAGGGAGAAAAGGGAAAAGGGGGAAACATAAGGGACTTTCAGTTACATAAAGCAGGGAATGATATAAATAAATTCTTTAACCGGTAATCATAACCATGTTAATTTATTGTATATGTCTTATGCCGCTTGTGCACATGATTGCAATTTGTGGTTTACAGTTACGGTTCAAGGAACTACATGGCTTAGACGCTTCTGGGAACTAAAAAGATTAAGATGTAGAAGGAGAGGGGGAAGCCATACAGGTCTCCCCCAAACCTTTCCCCTGTAAATCGTCCTCTGCCCATGATTTAGTTTTTGATGTCTGAAGAAGGCTCTGTTTACATCAAACAAATCGAGTAGGTGTAAGCCATGTCGAGACACCCATGCTCCGCAGACAAGCACAAACTTCTTCCGCACTGGAGAAGGATGGAGAAATTTATTGTCGTGGCAGAGACTTGGGCAATACTGATTGCCACGGTTATTCCCTCGCGTGTGTTTGTGTGTGTCAGAGAGTAAGTCAGAGAGAGAGAGAGAGAGAGAGAGAGAGAGAGAGAGAGAGAGAGAGAGAGAGAGAGAGAGAGAGAGAGAGAGAGAGAGAGAGAGAGAGAGAGAGAGAGAGAGTGAGAGTGAAGGGGAGAGAGAGAGAGAGAGAGAGTGAGAGTGAGAGTGAAGAGAGAGAGAGAGAGGAGAGAGAGAGAGAGAGAGAGAGAGAGAGAGAGAGAGAGAGAGAGAGAGAGAGAGAGAGAGAGAGAGAGAGAGAGAGGAGGGCAGGAAGGAGAGAGAGAGAGAGAGAGAAGGAGGGCAGGAAGGAGAGAGAGAGAGAGAGGGAGGGAGGAGAGGAGAGAAGAGAGATACAGGAACGATGTACGAAAAAATATACAGGTTCGTGTAGGGATATTTAGATACCTAGTAGGGTTTCTACAGCAAAGTGGGTTCCAACACTGAAACGCTCCACTAGGGGTAAAAGTCTCGTAAAAATCCATTATATGAAGGCTCACTCGGAAAGCTCTCTTCCTCCACTTCATCTCGACTCCCCTAACCGCCTCTCCTTGCGAACGAAGGAATCCGGAGAGCAAAACGAATCGATCCTTTTGTGCTTCTCTAAATCTTCTCTAGTCATCAGAGAATACGCAAGTCCTCATAAAAGCCACTTCGTCGTATGAGGCGCCAAAGATACCCAAATTTACCAAGGAAGAAAAAAAGAATCACACGATGCTTGTGGGTCACAGTTTATTCTCCTTACAACTCTCGGCAACAAAGTAATCGGGTGGAAGCAGATGGAGGACTCGCTCTTAGTTGTGAAGTTCCAGAGCCTCGGATTTTAACCTAGAACTTCGAAACCTGTAGGACTAAATGTACTATGACGTGATAAATCAATGTAACATGATATACATATGTGTATGGCAACATAATGGTGTATGATACATATGACAACATAGTGAAGCATGATCATATAAGACCACTAAGTGTAACACGACTTAGTGACAGATGGACAGATAATGGCGACCAGGATTTGCCAAATTGATCTAACATGACATTAGCGACTATATATGTTTTTATACCATTAACAAACAAGTGTAACCCAAGCAAACAGCATATGGCGTTCTGTTCATGCAGTGTGACGCATGTTCTAGAGCTTCTAGATAATGAAATGGAAACAAAACTGCTAAGCACACTTGTCTGACAGCAATCTATAAAGCTTTCAGAATTAGTGTTAGATATGTATTGCTATACTGTATTTTTGCGTAACACTTGCAGATGATCAAATTCACATTCATGCATTGCTAATTTTCACATGGAATCGATATAAAGCTATTTGAGACATGAACTATATATAAGTACAATAACATGATATTGGTACATTTAGTAGTACGTCAGGAGGGAAAGCACAGCATTGAGTGGATTTTGGCATAGTGGCCCTCGGCTTGACACTGCACTAATACGGCCTGATGGTGGTGAAATCTCCATAAATCGAGGAGAAGCATTTCCTTCAGAAAATACCTCGGGAACTCTACTTACTTCCTAACAGCTGCACAGCGCATACGTACTCCACTTACATACAGACCATACATACGCGTATATTATCATATTGTAAGATTATAGAACTACGGCTCATTTTACACATGGCGTAGAATAACTGGCTTAGTACATCTATAAACCCATGCTGCGCCAACACCGACAACATCGTATCATTATTACCAACACAACAGACATCACGGTGGTGTGTGTTGAGGGGAGCATCAGAAACCACCCACAGCTGTCTCACACGTAAACTAATGCTGGCTTTCTGACCTACACACTGGGAAGGCAACAACTCTGAGGTTCTACACAGTGAAAAAGACAGCGAAGTCAGCAGCAGTAACACTGAGAGTTTGGCCGCGGTGATAGTGTGGTGAACCGAGGCGACGAGGGGGGAGGGGGAGGGGGGAGGAGGGGAAGGGGTCTCAAAGTTAAAACAGGTCGTGGTTGTAATAATAAGAGAAATGGAACCGGAAAGGCCTGCGAGTGAGTCGCTGAGATTGTGTTTTCAACTGTGATATCAAGGGTCTGGGGATATATGTTTGTGCACTTTTACGGCTGCCGGAGCATTGTCCGCCACCTCCTGCGTCGCCAGCATCACACCACCAGCACCATATCTTACATCCCCCATTTGCAGTCCCTACAGCTTATTGCGTTTTTCGGTACATTAGGAGAATATTCACAGTATTATATTTTAGGAGATTTTACACGAAGAATGACTTTGCAGATTCTCTCACAACTGGCAGACTCTATGGTCTGCAAATGTATCTCATGTCCATATATCTTGTAGTTTGCGAACGAGGAGAGAGAGAGAGAGAGAAGGAGAGAATGAGAGAGAGGCAGAAGAGAGACGAGAGAGAGAGAGAGAAGCAGAGAGTAGGAGAGAGAGGAGAGAGAGGAGAGAGAGAGAGAAGAGAGAGGATGACAGAGAGAGCAGAGGGGAGGAGGAGAGAGAGGACGGAGAGAGAGAGAGAGAGGGGGAGGAGAGAGGGGAGAGACGGACGAATGAGCGACACGAGGAGAGAGAGAGTAGAGAGAGTCCCATACATGAGGTGGAGTTGAGGTCGAGGGGAGGTGGACGAACGAGAGAACGAGATTGTGGGAGGAGCTCGCGGATGAGCCGATGAGCAAGACGAAGAGAGACGCCGAATAGACGAGTGGATCGATGGAGAGCCCGAGGGCAATGATTCGTGACGATACAGAGTGTGGAGGCACAGAGAGGGCCGGCTGGCGAGCCGTCTGAAGCCAGGGGCGACGTCGTGAAGACTCGCATAGCGAGATAGAGACGAGGGAGGTCAGAGTGGAGAGAGAGGGAGAGGGGAGTCGAAAGGCTGAGAGGAGGGATCCTGGCGAACCCTCGGAGGGATAATCGAGAAGAGAGCGGAACAGAAGATGTCTTGAAGGGGGCGCTGCTAGGAAAAGGTAAGGTTGGACTCTATTGGGCGAGGTGGGCGAGACTACCAGAGCCCCGTGCAAGGACAGAGGGCAGCTCGAAGAGAAGGTTTCGAGATAACGGGAAGAGGGAATACGGGACCTATGGGATATATGAAGGGCATGCTGACGGGGGAGTTCAAAGTCGATATGTGTCAGGCCGGACCTCGCATGAACGACGGCTCAGAGGAAGTACCTAAAGAACTAGCTGACCGAGGTCACGCGAGATAGTCGGGACGAGTACCGGAAGGAAGTGCTCAAGTCAGACCACGTCATCTAGGACATCGACTGCCTGCTACGCGACGGTACGCACGCAGGGGATATTCGTAGGGAGGTGGGAGAAGAGGAGTGCCGTTCGGATGAGGGAGACGGGGATATGAGAGGGAAGCGATGAGAAGGGAAGACGCAGGGAGGAAGAGAGAGGGGAGAGAGGTCAGAGAGGGAGATATGAAGACACCACGCTAATATGCTCATAGCATGAGGATCAACGATCGCATGGACAACGTTATGATAACCTATAGATTATCAATAATATATAATACTAATAATAATAAAGCTAAATAATATAATAGTTTTCTCCCTAAGAATATATGACGTATATGCAGTATCTGCTTGAATTTCCATGAGGGCAAGCGCATCAAAGATTACGGAGATGACCAGAAGACTTGAAAATTACAGATGATGAATTGATAGACAGAACCAAGAATCTCTCTTCTATAACGATGATCTAGCTTGATATAGATAGAGAACATGAGAATCTACTTCAATAAGGAAAGAAAGTTTTGATTCCAAAATAGGCGATATACTTGAAACAAAAAATCATAATAAAATAGAAGAGAAAAAGACAACTGGATCACAACAACTATCAGAACTATTATCTGTAAATAGCACAATCAAAATCATTTAAACACTTTTCATAGCCCACTTGGCTAGACAGCGGTGGTCTTCATGGACACAACATGTAATCCATTCTGACCAGTTTACAAGGTTTGTTCAAATTGGATCAGGCCATCCCAATGGTTTTCCTTAACATACAGTAACTGTAAGAAAAAGATATGCATATCTATCTATCTCACCTAAAAGAACATTTAACCCTCCTATTGCGGTATATTGATCATTTATTACGGATAACATCTTTATATCTTTATATACTTTGTAATTCAAGTATCGAATATTCTTTGGTACGGGCCTCGCAAACCGCTAAAACGGCCTTTGATTGTCTCGTTCGGAGCACCATGAGAATTTGCACATAGGAAGCGACTAAAAGTACCGCAGACAAGTCCTCGTGAGGACACACGATGACGGAGAATACCGGTTAAGGACACGTCACCCTTGTCATAAAGCCTACGGAGATAGATGAATGCGCACCAAATCCATAAGAAGTATGATGAGTCAGAAGAGGTATTACTAGTTTGTAACGACGAGAGGAGAGATGTAATAGAAAGACATTATGTAACCCCCAGAAAGAGAGAAAAGAAGAAAAAAAATGTAAAATTAAAAATAAATAATAATAATAAAATAATATAGAAATAAAAAGAACATAATGACCGACGTAGCACACACGCGATTACCCACCTGGATATTCACGGCAAAAGCTAGTGCATGACTGAAGGCAGACCATGAGTTTGCTAAGATTGATTCTCAATTTTCATCCTCTAAATACATTAAACTCTACATAAAATCCCATCCCAACATCCATTGCAAAAAGTCATATACTAATTGATCCTGTCAATGTTAAATGCTTTTCGAAACATAAAAAATATTCAGAACGGGTGAAAGAGTTCTGATATGTTGTGTTGAAACCAGTTATATGTCCGTATTTATTAATAAGGTATAGATTGAATCTGATATTTAATGTATAAATTGTCATTATTATATATACCCATATATTTATATATCTATATACTAAATATTAAATATATTATATAATTTAGACTATTATAATATATATAATATATGTTGTGGCTCGATGTCAGATACAAACACCCAACATTCAACATCCACAACTGGCTTCGCCAGTATTCTCAAAACATTAATCACCACCACTACATTCCCTATCCCAACCCAAAAATCATCACTATTCGCCCACCGTGTGAGCACTCAACCCGATAATTGTACGCGTGTCTGCGTGGTCGCGTCGATTGTACAATCTACCACGACACTCCGCCACACACCCATCTCACTCACCAGTCACTCACCAAAACTGTGCTGACGTACTAATTGATGCAAAGACGATACACACTACCTATACAATAACTATAACATCCATCCTCAATTATTTCTGATGATCTATTGGTGTTAGTTAATATAAATAATTAATAAATCTATAAGTAATGAAGGTGTGTGTGTGGTGTGTGTGTAGTTTGTGTGGTGGATGGGGTGTGTGTGTGGGATGTGTCAGGGGCATTGGGTGTGTTTATGTGGTGTAGTAGTAATGAGGAGTAGGGAAAGATGAGTTGGGAGGAACGAGAGTAAGAGGTGTGTGGGATGAGAGAGAGGGAGGAGTAGATGAGAGAGGCAGAGATGAGAGTTGAGAGAGAGAGATGAGAGAAGTAGAGAGAGATAGGAGTAGTGAGAGAGAGATGAGATAATAGTGAGATAATGATATATAACATGACGAGGAGAGATATAGAAGTGGGTGTGTGGGATCGCGACGAAAGGAGAGAGGATGAGAACGAAACATTAGAAAAAGGAGGAACTGACGGTAAGTAGGGACGACGCAGCGCGAGGATCATGAGGGAGGGAGGGAGGGAAGGAGGGAAGGAGGGAGGAGAGAGAGAGAATGAAGAAGAGACTGGAAGAGAAGAAGACCGAGTGATAGAGATAACAAAAATAGTAGAATGACGAGAAGATGGAGATGGAGAGAAGAAAAGAGAGTGAGTCTCGAGAGGTGAGAAAGAGAGAGAGAGAGAGAGAGAGAGAGAGAAATGTGAAAGGAGAAAGAGAAAAGAAAGAGAGTACGTATATTCACACGCCACTAAAACTCTTCCAGAACAACAATTTTTGTTTCTATATTACATATTATATCATATGTTGAAAACGATACTATGATAACATCTTAACATCAATTCTACTCTATTTCGGCCTTTATCTCCGACCCGAGACGAAGCTAATGACACAACAACACTCTGGTTCAGATGGAAATCCTGGAACAATACTCGAAAACACCACGACGGTAAAATAATATACAAAAATCATATCCATGGTAGATCATTATATAATTCTGTAAGTAACAATAGCGTCATTTGGGTAAGTGCATGTGATCTGCGGTTACAATGAGCATGCACTTTTTTTTAATTCCTGAAATGTGAGTAGAGTAATATGAGTAAATACGTAATCTTGAAGGTACGAACATAATCAGGATGACCAACTAAAAAAGAAAGAAAAAAAGGAAAGAAAAAAGAATTCTCCATGAGCCAATGGAAGGGAAGGCAGACTGATTAGGTAAAAAGACCAAATTTCTCTCTTCGCCGAAAATGGCCGCCCCCTTCTTCCTCTCCCTCACTGCGCTGCGATGGCGGATCCGCACTTGTGGCAGATGCTGGCGTGCACGTTGCCGTTCAGGGCCTGGGATCTGTGGTTGACCTCGCCCTCGGGAGAAGAGGACTCCCCGTCGCCCTCTGCAATGGCCTCGTCCAGCTCCAGGGACTTCAAATCGGGGGTGACGATGCCGTCGTCGACACTTCGAGACCGGCCGCGCGAGGGGCTGTAGCCGCCCTCCGTCTGCACAGCTGTTCGCAGGGCAGGCGTCAAGTTATTTATATATATAAAGGTTTAAGTTATTTATATATATATATATATATATATATATATTATTATATATATATAGTTTTAAGTTATTTTATATATAAGGTTTAAGTTTTTTATATATATAGGTTTAAGTTGGTTTAAGTTATTTATAAATATAGGTTGAAGTTATTTATATAATAGGTTAAGTTTATATATAGTTAAGTTATTTATATTATAGGTTAAGTTTATTATTATAAGTTATTTATATATATAGGTTAAGTTATTTATATATTTAGGTTTAAGATATTTATATATTTAGGTTTAAGTTATTTATATATTTAGGTATAAGTTATTTATATATACAGGTTTAAGTTATTTATATATTTAGGTTTAAGTTATTTATATATATATATAGGTTTAAGTTGGTTTGTTATTTATATATATAGGTTTAAGTTAGTTGTATATATAGTTTTTTTAAGTTATTGATATATATACTTTTAAGTTATATATATAGTTTTAGGTTATTTGTATATATAGTTTCATAAACGAACCAGAATCATTGAATAAGAAAAAATAAATAGAAGCAAAGAATTTCGAACCAGAATCACAGAATAAAACAATTAATAAGTGCAAATACTCATGCTATATTCATCTTTTCATCCACAGCTGATATTTGAATAATGAGTTCATAGTTCATATAATATAGTAGAAACAACAACTGGAAAGAAAGTCCCATATAATATATATATATATATATATATATATATATATATATTATATATATATATATATATATATTTTTTTTTTTTTTTTTTTTTTTTTTTTTTTTTTTTTTTTTTTTTTTTTTTGTCTCCCGCGTCATTCGAATCTAATTGGTGACATAGGCCTACATTTTTTTTAAGCAAGTGCCACCCATACCATCCCAGCCAAGCACCTCAGATTTAGGATATTAGAAGTGACCATTCATACGCATCCCAGCTAAGTCTCTCAGATTATGTGTTCTCAGGCGAACGTTCGTCTGTTCGCCAGATAATTCACGCGCATGAGGAGTAGGTTGTAGCTTTTAGATAGGTTGCGCGATGCCCGCCAAGCACTCAGATGTAGGACTAATTAGCAGTGCCGACGCATACTCCTGCCAGCTGCGCACTCAGCATTTAGAGATCTATTAGAGTGCCATTACGTAACATCCCAGCCGATGACTGCTCAGATTTAGGAGCTAGATTAGCAGTTGCATGTCTTGAGGCCCTGTGATGACAGACAGCCATACGCATGCCAGCATGCACCTTCAGATTTTCAGATTTTAGGACTAATTAAGCAAGTGCATTCATATCATCCTCCACCAGCCAAGCACCTTCAGATAGGACTATAATTAGCAAGTGGGGCCATTCATACCATCCCAGCCAGCACCTCAGATAGGACTAATTAGCAAGGTGCCCCCCATACCATCCCAGCCCAAGCACCTCAATTAGGACTATTAGCCAGTGCCATTCATACATCCAGCAGCACCTCAGATTAAACTAATTAGCAAGTGCAACAAGCATCTCAGATTAAACTAATTAGCAAGTCCATACCATGCCCAGCCAAGCACCTAGATTAGACTAATTAGGCAAGTGCCCATTCATACCATCCCAGCAAGCACCTCAGATTAGGACTAATTAGCAAGTGCCCATTCATACCATCCCAGCAAGCAGCTCAGATTAGGACTAATTTAGCAAGGTGCCATTCTACATCCCAGCCAAGCACCTTCAGATTAGGACTAATTAGCAAGTGCATACCATCCCAGCCAAAAGCACTCAGATTAGGACTAATTAGCAAGTGCCATTCATACCATCCCAGCCATGCACCTCAGATTAGGACTAATTAGCAAGTGCCATTCATACCATCCCAGCCAAGCACCTCAGATTAGGCAAGTGCCAAATCATAGCAGATTGTAGCAAGTGCCACATACCATCCCAGCCAAGCACCTCAGATTAGGACTAATTAGCAAAGTGCCATTCATACCATCCCAGCCATGCACCTCAGATTAGGACTAATTAGCAAGTGCCATTCATACCATCCCAGCCAAGCACTCAGATTCAGGACTAATTAGCCAGTGCCATTCATACCATCCCAGCCAGCCTAGATTAGGACTAAGTTGCCATACCATTCCCAGCCAAGCAAGCACCTCAGATTAGGGACTAATTAGCAAGTGCCATTCATGCATCCCAGGCCATGCACCTCAGATTAGGACTAATTAGCAAGTGCCATTCATACCATCCCAGCCAAAGCACCTCAGATAGGACTAATTAGCAAGTGTGCCATCATACCATCCCAGCCAAGCACCTCGATTAGGACTAATTAGCAAGTGCCATCATACCATCCCAGCCAAGCACCTCAGATTAGGACTAATTAGCAAGTGCCATTCATACCATCCCAGCCAAGCACCTCAGATTAGGACTAATTAGCAAGTGCCATTCATACCATCCCAGCCATGCACCTCAGATTAGGACTAATTAGCAAGTGCCCATTCATAACAGCAGCACTCAGATTAGGACAATTAGCAAGTGGCCATTTCATACCATCCCAGCCAAGCATTCAGATTAGGACTAATTAGCAAGTGCCATTCATACCATCCCAGCCAAGCACCTCAGATTAGGGACTAATTAGCAAGTGCCATTCATACCATCCCAGCCAAGCACCTCAGATTAGGATAATTAGCAAGTGCCATTGCATACCATCCCAGCCAAGCACTCAGATTAGGACTAATTAGCAAGTGCCATTCATACCATCCCAGCCAAGCACCTCAGATTAGGACTAATTAGCAAGTGCCACATACCATCCCAGCCAAGCACCTCAGATTAGGACTAATTAGCAAGTGCCATTCATACCATCCCAGCCAAGCACCTCAGATTAGGACTAATTAGCAAGTGCACCCATACCATCCCAGCCAAGCACCTCAGATTAGGACTAATTAGCAAGTGCATTCATACATCCAGCCAAGCACCTCAGGACTAATTAGCAAGTGCCATCCATACCATCCCAGCCAAGCACCTCAGATTAGGACTAATTAGCAAGTGCCATTCATACCATCCCAGCCAAGCACCTCAGATTAGGACTAATTTAGCAAGTGCCATTCATACCATCCCAGCCAAGCACCTCAGATTAGGACTATTAGCAAGTGCCACCCATACCATCCCAGCCAAGCACCTCAGATTTAGGACTAATTAGCAAGTGCCATTCATACCATCCCAGCCAAGCACCTCAGATAGGACTAATAGCAAGTTGCCATCATACCATCCCAGCCAAGCACCTCAGATTAGGACTAATTAGCAAGTGCCATTCATACCATCCCAGCCAAGCACCTCAGATTAGGACTAATTAGCAAGTGCCACCCATACCATCCCAGCCAAGCACCTCAGATTAGGACTAATTAGCAAGTGCCACCCATACCATCCCAGCCAAGCACCTCAGATTAGGACTAATTAGCAAGTGCCATTCATACCATCCCCAGCCAAGCACCTCAGATTAGGACTAATTAGCAAGTGCCATTCATACCATCCCAGCCAAGCACCTCAGATTAAAACTAATTAGCAAGTGCCATTCATACCATCCCAGCCAAGCACCTCAGATTAGGACTAATTAGCAAGTGCCATTCATACCATCCCAGCCAAGCACCTCAGATTAGGACTAATTAGCAAGTGCCATTCATACCATCCCAGCAAGCACCTCAGATTAGGACTAATTAGCAAGTGCCATTCATTACCATCCCAGCCAAGCACCTCAGATTAAAACTAATTAGCAAGTGCCATTCATACCATCCCAGCCAAGCACCTCAGATAGGACTAATTAGCAAGTGCCATTCATACCATCCCAGCCAAGCACCTCAGATTAGACTAATTAGCAAGTGCCATTCATACCATCCCAGCCAAGCACCTCAGATTAAACTAATTAGCAAGTGCCATTCATACCATCCCAGCCAAGCACCTCAGATTAGGACTAATTAGCAAGTGTCATTCATACCATCCCAGCCAAGCACCTCAGATTAAAAACTAATTAGCAAGTGCCATTCATACCATCCCAGCCAAGCACCTCAGATTAGGACTAATTAGCAAGTGCCATTCATACCATCCCAGCCAAGCACCTCAGACTAATTAGCAAGTGCCATTCATACCATCCCAGCCAAGCACCTCAGATTAGGACTAATTAGCAAGTGTCATTCATACCATCCCAGCCAAGCACCTCAGATTAGGACTAATTAGCAAGTGCCATTCATACCATCCCAGCCAAGCACCTCAGATTAGGACTAATTAGCAAGTGCCATTCATACCATCCCAGCCAAGCACCTCAGATTAGGACTAATTAGCAAGTGCCATTCATACCATCCCAGCCAAGCACTCAGATTCTAATTAGCAGTGCCATTCATACCATCCCAGCCAAGCACCTCAGATTAGGAACTAATTAGCAAGTGCCATTCATACCATCCCAGCCAAGCACCTCAGATTAGGACTAATTAGCAAGTGCCACCATACCATCCCAGCCAAGCACCTCAGATTAGGACTAATTAGCAAGTGCCATTCATACCATCCCAGCCAAGCACCTCAGATTAGGACTAATTAGCAAGTGCCATTCATACCATCCCAGCCAAGCACCTCAGATTAGGACTAATTAGCAAGTGCCATTCATACCATCCCAGCCAAGCACCTCAGATTAGGACTAATTAGCAAGTGCCATTCATACCATCCCAGCCAAGCACCTCAGATTAGGACTAATTAGCAAGTGCATTCATACCATCCCAGCCAAGCACCTCAGATTAGGACTAATTAGCAAGTGCCATACCATCCCAGCCAGCACCTCCAAGTGTCATCCATACCATCCCAGCAAGCATCTCAGATTAGGACTAATTAGCAAGTGCCACATACCATCCCAGCCAAGCACCTCAAATAGGACTAATTAGCAAGTGCCATTCATACCATCCCAGCCAAGCACCTCAGATTAGGACTAATTAGCAAGTGCCATTCATACCATTCCCAGCCAAGCACCTCAGATTAGGACTAATTAGCAAGTGTCATTCATACCATCCCAGCCAAGCACCTCAGGGACTAGCAAGTGCATACCATCCCAGCCAAGCACCTCAGATTAGACTAATTAGCAAGTGCCATTCATACCATCCCAGCCAAGCACCTCAGATTAGGACTAATTAGCAAGTGCCATTCATACCATCCCAGCCAAGCACCTCAGATTAGGACTAATTAGCAAGTGTCATTCATACCATCCCAGCCAAGCACCTCAGATTAGGACTAATTAGCAAGTGCCATTCATACCATCCCAGCCATGCACCTCAGATTAGGACTAATTAGCAAGTGCCATTCATACCATCCCAGCCAAGCACCTCAGATCAGGACTAATTAGCAAGTGCCATTCATACCATCCCAGCCAAGCACCTCAGATTAGGACTAATTAGCAAGTGCCACCCATACCATCCCAGCCAAGCATCTCAGATAAAACTAATTAGCAAGTGCCACCCATACCTCCTAGCCATACATCTGATATGGAAAATACAGAAGCACACATTGAAGAAAGAGGTGAACATTTAAGGCTAACGATCAATTAATAATTTTGATAAAAAATACCTTTCTATGGAAAGTTTTTATTTTTTAATTATGTATCTTACTTATTCATTTATTCGTTAATGCACAAATCTAGTTTATTATGTAACAAAAGATGATCTTAGTCTGCAATAATTGATTATTGCAATACTCGGTCACTTAAAATTAACTATTACATTATCAATTCACTTTCACAATGAACTGTCACTGAACA